ATTGCATCTTTTTGAAGGGTATTTGGCATAGTGCTAAAGAATTCCTAGTCACTTACAGAAAGCTGTAGAACCACCTTTTCTTTATTTGTTTTCTTAATGTGTCACATTGCCTGCATCTTCCTGGAACTGAATACTGTTGTAGTGTATCCCCTTGACAGAAGAGAGACATTTGAAAGGCAGGGATGCTTTGAGTAACAAGCATCTTGTAAGCTTTTCCAGGTATTTCTAGACACTATTCCCCCCCCCCCTTTATTCTAAACTGTGGATTTGTTTGTTTCTTTTCAAGACACTTTCAGATTCCTTTCAATCTAAAAAGCAAAAACTGAGTTGAGGTAGATTACAAAAGAGTAATTTTATTACTCACTTCCAGAGGGGGAGGGGGAAGGAAACTGATCACTGGTTCATACATTTAGGCACATGTTTTCAGCCCAGAGGGAGGGGAGTTGCTATCAATGTTGATAGTTCCCTTTACAACACAGCACAGCCCTTGGGGTGTAGATAAGCGTCATGTATTCTGGATGAATATAAGCAAAGACAGTTAGGATGGAAAAATACACATAGAATTGATTTACAAGGATGATAACGTTTATCTTTTCCTTAAGTCTATTTATGGAACAGCCATGCAACCCCATGCTGCCATCTTGTTACCTCTCAGAAAGTAAGCAGAGCTGGACTGGGTCAGCCTTGGGATAGAAAACATTGAATGGGCACCCCCAGTTGTTACAGGAAGCAGCCCAGGTGATTGGACAGGTGATTTCCCCATATAGTCAGTACTGAATCTATGCTCTAGAAAGCTAGTAAAGGCCATTATGGGGTAGCCTTTTGCATGAAGCATAAAACCAAGGTCTTGATCACTTGTAGTCATTAAAAACCCCAGAGCACTTAGGATATATGTCTTTACTGCAAGCTGCCTGGAAGTGTAATTTAAGAGGTCGAGTAGACATTCACATGCTAGCTTTGATCGAGCTAGCACACTAAAAATAGAAGTGTAGTCATGGCTGTGTGGGCAGCAGGATGAGCTAGCTATCCTGAGTACAGTCCTGCCCAGGACCCTAGGTTATTGGGTGGTTAACCCATCCTGCTGCCCACAGTGCAGCAGCTACCCTTCTGGTTTTAGCATACTAGCTCAATCAAAGCTAGCATGTGAATGTCAACCTGAGCTGGAAATTACACCTTCAGCTCCAAGTGTGGGTGTACAATTATTCAGAGCGTAGATGTTTTAGTGCTTGGGTCCTGGCTAAATTCTCACTGAGAATTTTAATGTACATATTAATGTTAATAGACTTAATGCTCTCCTTACCTAACGCCTTACCTTATCCTTCACTTTCTGCTTTCAATGGCTGTGCAGTGTTGCTGTGCACTATTTAAGTGCAACTGCATTCCACTTCAGTCCCCTCAAGTGGAACTTTTTCAGTGCCAGTTATTTAAAAACAAATTTTTAAAAACCCTCTTTTTAATTGTAAAGTGAGCAAATTTGCTAGAAATAACTTGGGGGGGGAAGGAGAAGAGATATGGAACAATAAGATGTGTTTTTATAGTTACTTTTTTTAGCCTCACTACCTTCCCTGCTATTTCCTGTGAACGCTAAACTGGAACGAGAGGCACATTCCTGCACTCCATAGTTGGACAAAACTCCCATAGACTAGTGCTCAGAGTAAGGCTTGAAGGATCAGGCCTGTCTGATCACTAGCTCAAGGGCCCCTGTGCTTGAAGAGGATACACTGAGTGAGGTCAGGCAGATTTTTCCGCTGCTATCATCTTCCAGTTTCACAGATTGTGGATGGGGGAACTAACTTCTACCAAGGGTGCCTTAGGAACTCCACCTGTGGGCACTGTAGAGGGGAATCTCCAAATGAGCATAATTCCCAGCTGCTCTGGTCGTAACTGTGGCATTATTGTTAAGGTTTAGAGTCACTACTCTGAGTGGCCAGTAGGGGCATAGAGCAGAGAGGTAAGAATCTGCTTAAACAGGGAATAAAGACAGTCTTGCATTCACCCCAACCATGGTGTTCTGGGTCTCTGTATTTGATCCCATTCTGACACCATGAAGAGATTAAAGACCCAACAGATCACAGAACACCCTTGCAAAAAGGGGGAAAGGAAAATGGACAAGTCAGAAATCTCTATGAAACCATATTGGGTGACTTCCAGGGAAGTTACCATAAACTGAGATATGTTGTTGAAAGGATCCAGACTGGTTATCTCTACATCAGTAGAACAGGAAATCCTTGACTACACGAGGGAAATCAAGACATTACCAAATGCAAGAAGAGAGCTGAACAATTGTGTGTGTGAGCTGGGATGAGCTAACAATTACAAAAGAGTACTCAGTGAGGTGATTTTTTGCTTGCATTGGAACTAATCCACCAGAACCGTGAATGCCATCTGTTGTACCAGGGAGGCCATGGCAGAAAGTTGGGACTGATGTTTTCTATCTTTCAATGACTGATTATTTCTCAGGATACAGTGTCAGGCTGCTCAGCCCCATAAAGTGCAGTTGTGGAGAAGATAAAAACCATTGTCACCTGTAAGGGGTCAGACTCACCCCTGCGGCACCTCCTGCTGGTCATCTGGGGAATCAGCTCTGTCCAGCCTGGAGTACCCTCTGCAGGCCAGTGATCCACCTTGTCCTTTGCACTGGCCCCCGATGTCCCTCCCAGGACCCCAGTGCCTGTTGCTCTGGGTGCTGCCCCCTGGCAGTACCCACACTCACTGGGTCTCCCCTCCCAGGTGAACCCCCACCCACTAACCCCTACCTCACCTCAGGATAAGGCCACTGCCAGTCACCAAATAGCCCCTGCTCTCTGGGACCAACTGTAGTATCAGCCACTCATCACAGGCAAGGAGGGTTTGGACCCACTGCCTTGGCCTACACCTGGGTTGCCCTCTGCAACCCCCATACCCCTTAACCTAATGCTAGGCCACAGCCTGGGGCTTTCCAGGCTGGGGCTCCCCAGCCCTGCTCCACCCAGGTACTCTGTCTTAGCTCTATACAGCCAGGCCCTTTTTCTCTCTGAAGGTAGAGAGAGACTCCTGAGCTCCCAGCCTCTTTATACAGGCCAGCTGGGCTCTGATTGGGGCATGGCCCAGCTGCAGCTACTTCCCCAATCAGCCTAGTAGCTGCTTCTCCCAGTGCTGTTCCAAACCCCTCAGGGCAGGAGCGGGTATCCACCCTGCTACACACCCATTTCGGGATTCCAGAGCAAGTTTTCTTTGACAATGGCCCTCAATTTCCCTCGGAGACCTGTAAGAGGTTTGCACATACTTATGATTTCACTCATATCACATCCAGCCCTCAGTTTCCCCAGAATAACAGTGAAACAGAACCTGCAGCTAAGACCATAAAACAATTTATTTCTAAATCCTCAGATCCTCATCTTGCCCTGTTGGCCTTCTGGTCAACATCTCTAGCAAATGGATTCAGTCCTGCGGAATTGTTGATGGATGAAAGTTGAGGACCACTATCCCATATGTCCCTTCCCAATTGGAACCTGATTAGCCTGAATTCCTAGAGACTACAGAAGAAGGATGGTCAATATAAAACCTGTCAGAAGTGGGACTTTGACAGGGACCCTTGAGTCAAATCCTTGAGAGTACTGATTCCAGAAGATCACATTGTGGTGAAAAATGCTCAGGAAAAGGGGACAGTGTAGGGATGTGCCAGATCCCATTGATCCTCCTTTCTTTGTTTACTATCAGGAATCATCCGTTGGATTAGGTGTCGTCTTGTTGCATCAACAGATGGACCTCCAATACACTCCGATTGCTACCCTGAGACTGAACCTGTGAACAACATACTACCTTCCCACATAAAACCGCCAGCATGTCCTCCCTGCAAGGAGATACCCAGCTGGAAACAGACGGCCCCTCTGTATTCCTGAAGGACTACATAAAATCTTGGGATTTCAAGAAAATCAGAGGACTAGTAGCAGTATGTCTTAAAAGGGCAGAATAAATCCCTGACACAAGGCTGAAGGGTGAGGCAGTCTCCCTGTCCACCACAGGGCTGTTTATTCTTGTTTCACGTTGCTGTTCCATTTCTGTTACATGTTGTTTAATTAAAAGTTTGGGTAAAGGTTTTATCACCCTTTCCTCTTCAAAATGGGGGATGTGGTGTTAGTTGTGGATGTTTAGAGCCACTATTCAGAGTGGCCAGCAGGGGGTAGAGAGCAAGGAGGTAAGAGTCTGTGTAAAGAGGAAATAAAGACAGCCTTGCATTCACCCCAGACACAGTGTCCTGGGTCTCTGTATTCTCTACAACATGTACTGCCCAGATAGCACCATCAACCTTTTGTGCTGTACTGGTCCTGGACAGAGAGCAGTTTGTAGCCGTCACCTCCTCCCCTTGCAGACTTTCTGCTGTCAGGCACATTGTGGGAAATACTGTCTTCCCCTCACCTATTTGGTTCTAGATAAGAAGAAGTCAGGTGTTGTGTTTCATCAGCATTTATAGTCTTCCCAGTGGATTGTATTCCAGGATAATACACAAGGTGTGTGCCAAGTTAAAGGACTATGCATGAAGAGGTGCATTTGTAAGAGTGTTTGGAGGGGAGAGTGACACTCCCCACTGATAACTAGAACTTTAGCTGAAGGTTCAGGTAAAGCAAATTTTCCATGTTCACACTAGACTGCAAATGCTTGCTTGTATATAACATGTAGTCACATCCCTTTCTCCAACTTCCCACTTACACAGCCTTTGTCAACCTGGGGCCAGGAAGGGTTCCTCAATCTGCCTTTCATCCTATTAGTTTCAGTGGGTGCCAGGGAAGGATGATGATTAAAGCAATTGGTACTATTTCCCCTGAAGCCTGAGTGTATCTGTCGCACCTGCTTTTGGATCTCATTGCCCTATGGTAAAATGGAGCATGTTCCTACTACTTGAATTTTTTTTCATGTCTAGGAACATATTTCATATCATGGCTCATTAAAACAGAAGCAATGCAGTGCCCTGCGTACAACATGCAAAGCTCTGTAGTAGACAAAACATTCCAATTTCTGTGTTCGTCAGCAAGATCTATTTAATTAATTTTCTCTTTAAGGGGGAAAAAATGGTCTGCAGTATAATGACATAATTGTCTCTGACAATATTGTCAGTTTGGGTAGGCGCAATATTGAAAAGGCAAGCTGGAACTGCAAAATACAAATAAGCAACACCTGAGAAATGTGGGAGAATAGGAGCGTGAATATCAGCCAGTTGCATGGTCCAGTTACCAGATGTCTGTGTGGGTTGTGAATTTAAATATCTACTTTGGTTTGCTCAAGTATATAATGCCTTACTCGAGTTAGTGTTTGAACATGTGCTTTTTCTTCCCATATGTGGGCTTTTGTACTGTGGTGCCCTTTAGAAATGTGCCTATTTTAAGTAAGACAAACAAATCATATTTCCTCAGTATCTGTAATACTCCCTTGAACTTCCTTAGAGTCACTATAGGGATTACTGAGGCTAAGCCCTAATACTGTGCGCTGATTTCAGTAGGTGGACCTGTAATAATAAATAATAATAATATCTAGTCCTGATTATAGCTTCTCTCCCCTATAGATCACAAAGTGTTTTATAAAGAAAGTCAGTATCATTATCCCCACTTTGCAGATGTGGAAATCAAGGCACAGAGAGAACTTGCTCCAGGTCATACAAGTGAGTGACAGAGCTGGGAACTGAATCCAAGTGTCAGTCTAATGCTCTATCCACTAGACCACATTGCCTCTCTGACCTGTGTGCCAGTGTTGGGTCCCATTAGATAAGCAAGAGAGCTGGTCAGTAGAGCTCCTCATAAGCTCAGAGATCTGCCAGCATGAATCAACTTACAGGGGGGCTGTAGTTTTCTAAGGCAATAGGCAAGTTTTTAATGTCACTGCTGATAGGCAATAATGTCACCACTGCTATACTCTGGCTGGTATTCCCTGTTTAACTGACTCTTCTTTTTTTCATATATCTGAAATAAGAACAAAGGAAATTGAGTTAAAATGATTGAGTTATATTGCAATAGGATTCTTTTTACCAAATGTCACCAAAACATAACTTGAGAAAACGAGGCTGCCAAATGGCGACAAGCATCTCTGCTGTGGCTTTTTGAAGACAATGATAATTACATCACAGATGACGAAGTTGACAAAACACGTGATCACAAAATGCAAAATACATGCTTATCTTTTCAAAGCAGTAAGCACAAATCCATTTAATTTTAAACTGTTGATGATCTAGAGCATTGTAACTACATATGCTTAAAGTCACTAAGACATTTTCATTTCTGTTGATATAGAAGCTTCCTTTTGCCAGTTCCTTATTGAAAAGAAACCAAAATAAAAAAAAAACTTGAAAAATCCAGATTTTTTTTTTACAATTGACTTTTCCCACCACTGTACAGTTAGCAGTGGACACATTTAATCCAAATTTCTATTTGTAGTTCCATAAAATAAGATAGCAGGCAAATTGGAATTACAATATCAAGCAATACTTTATAATGTATTTTTACAATACCTTTTGTAAGCTTGAAAATATTATTACAATTCTGTGGCTGCCTACGCCTTCAGAGTTGTCACTGTGCTGCACCCTAGTCATGATAGTAGTGGCAATAAAACCAATACTCTGCTGCTCCAATAGCACAGCCCCTTAATGTTACTCTCACAGATGAGATACAGTTTTAGCTATCAGTACCTCAGTACTGTATATGGTCTTTCACACACTTGAGGAGTTCTGATTCCACCCAGTAGAGGGCAGTGGCATACCAGCCAGTTCATTATAATATTTTAATCCATTATCCATTTTGTCCCTTGCTGTTGGGGACAAGGGGGGAAATATTTATTTTGAATACAGTTGAAATTAACATTGCTGGGTTTGTTTTTTTAAAAAACTCCAGCTGATATTGCCCCTTATCATATAAAACTTGTGGGCTTCTTTCTTGGGAGCATAATTAGGACTAGTGTTAGTTAACTGCTGGGGAGCTGCACTATTTAATAATCATACAGCAGACTGGTTAGTTTGAGAGACAACACCCTTTCCATTAGCTGCATGAGTACTCATCTTGTACGGAATCTGTTCAAGCTTCTGAAAACATCTAGTTCACACCGGCCAGGCTCAGGGGTTTAACATTTGTTTGCCACCCTGGTACTAGCAACAGAAAGCCTGTCCTAGCTTCTTTAATTCCTCAGAAATAACTCAGATAGATCACTAGGTTTGGAAATACTTTTCACAATTGCAGAGTCAGCTATAGTTTGTCAATCCTGGTTGTTCTTCTCAGAGGACAGCAACTAACATGACTCACCCAGGCTGATTATGTTGCAGTTTCAGCCAAGCGCTTCTTGGCTCAGAGCAATGCTGGTGTCCGCACTGGTTTTGCTGCCACTGATACAGATTCTCACATATCCCCATCTGCTCTTTCAGCAATAAAGATATCATTTTTCTCCTTTATAAACAGGTATCTGGGTTGTCTTATTTCAAGTACATTTTTGACAGTTTCTCCTGTGCCTCTCCTCATTTCTCAAACCTATAACAATTGCTCCCCAGTGGAGTAACAATTCTTGCAGGCTTCCAAATGTGACTCTCTGTTCCCTGATAGATCTGTTGTCTGACTCTCACTCTATCCTTGTTGTCTGTCATAGTGAAACTATTCTATTTGCCTTTGCTACACTTGAAAGATTGGTATTTGCTTAGGTTTGAGGAACTGCTCTTGTGGGAAGAAGAGTCCTTGTTCATCTGCTGATTTGTATTTCTGCTGAGATAGCCAGTCCTGCTCCTGGTGTATTTCTAATCTCCACCAGGGGCAGATAAGGATCTTTGTTATGTTTAACTTGAAGAGATTTTTCACTGTCTGAATGGCACCAGCAGTTATCCTGTTACTGTGTGCCTCTCTTGGCAAGGAGATGTACTGTGCTAATAAGTCTTAGCAAATTCCTGAAATTCTGCATGTGGGAAGTGTGGTTTGTTAGCAGCACTCAGAACCTGTGGCATGCCTTTCCTTGTCAATTGTGCCTTGGCGTGGATACACATACACACACAAAGCATTACACTTAAATACGTAGGGACCACTTGATGGTTTTATATTCAGATGATATTGGGAATGGTCACAGTGCCCATAAGCAACAGTGATCATCCCACATGAGTAACCTTAAACATTTGTTCCAGGCTACAACCATTTATGGTTTGCTCTTGGCCAATCCCTAACATGATTAACCATCAATTAATTTGTTCCATCTCTTTAGGACAGTCGACATGAAATCCCCAGTCTCTAATCAAAGGGGTTGTAGTGATACAAGATGGATTAAGATTAACACAGAAATGATATGCACAAAGGCCCTGATCCACAAAGCTGCATAGGTATCTAAACCCGAGATTAGGTGCCTAAGTCCCAGGTGTAGGCTCCATGGCCATCCACAAAACTCCCATTGAACACTGTCGGTGCCTAAACTTGCTTGACACCTACGTTTCCAGGGTAAAAGTTCCCTCAGAGCCGAAGCGTCTGCCTCTGGGCTTGTGCGTTGCTGCCTTACTCTAGGCGTCCAGACACCTGTCTCCCACCTAAGTGCCAGAGCAATCCACAAACCTGGGGAAGAGAGTCATTCACTTGCCTGTTTGACACGCAGGGCCTGATCTGGTAGGTGTGCTCAGAGGCTGCCTGCAGGACTGGGTCTATTGCATGAGGGAGAGCCAGGTTCAATTTCCCCCCACCCCTCTGTCTGATGGGGAGAAAGGATTTGCACAATCAGGAAAGTGCTCTAATCATCAGGCTAAAAATAATAAGATGGGCACCACCTCCTCCTCCAGCCATGTTGTGTGCAGGGAGGCAGGCGCCTAACTCATTCCCGCAAGCAATTATTTAGGCATCTAAGCAGCCTGGCTCCAGGAGAGGGGTTCATGTTTGTGGATCACTAAGAGATAGGTGTCTCCTTGCAGCTTGGACTTCAGCACCGATCCCTGTGAGAGAGGTGGGGCTTAGCACAAATCCCTCCAATCAGCATCTCCCATTGGCTGCTTTAGGCCACTCCCTGCCTAGCATGCTGGCTTTTGTGAGCCATTTTTGAAAGCACCTCCCTTTCCTCATTCATTATATAGGGAGTCTAGATGTCTAACTCAGGCCTTGCAGTGTTGTTTTTGTGATCTTCTAGGTGCCTAAAAGTTCAGTACTGCGATGCTGAGCATTGCAACACCTAAGTCCCTGTATGGACCTGGGCCAATAATTTTGTGCCAAGCTAGCCTGCCTCATTCCTATTCATAGGAGAAAATGAGAAGGTAAAATATTGCTTACGAGTGAATCCTTTCTTCTCCCTCTGATCCTTTTAGCCAGCAGCCTATCAGAGATATTGGGCCAGATCCTCAGCTATTGTAAATCTATGTAGCTCCATTGACTTCATGACCTCTTACACAAAGATATATCTTCCAAGGAGTTATGTTATGAAATGTCCACTTTTTATGTTCCAGACTCACTCGGGATTATTTTCAGTGCTTTGGCTGAACAGCTTTGGTTCCTGTTTTCCTGTAGTCTTGTTAACACTTTGAAGCTGTTTTGAAGACATGTGTAGTATTCAGTAACTACTTCCCAGCCCCCCTTCACATCTTATTTCCAAATAAGTGTGTCCCCATTGCAAGATCTTTCTTCTCTGTGCGGTAGTCCAAGAGGAGTCGTGCTTTTTCATGTTAATAGTCCTGGCTGGACATTTCAGCCTGAATCCAACTCACTGTCTGCCTCACATCTGAGTTTGAAGACCCAGAGCTCATCTTCCGCTAATTCTCCCTACATCACCTCATTATATCAAATATGGATTGAGAGATTAATGCTGATCTGTCACACAGTCATTTTCCAGCACTGACCCTCAGGGTATTTTAGACATACTTGGAACAAATTTTGCCAAACAGTTTATCATCCCCATAAGTCTCTATAGATCTGTTTTCCTTTGTGAAATGATCACTGCCACTAGTGCTTTTATTTTAGAGGGGTTCATGTTTGTGGATCCACTCTATTGACTCAGTGAATTTGTTATGGCTTCCCACCAACAGTCATTTAGAGCCCTTGTAACTATTTACAAGCTGTATTCTGGTGGCACCACAAGGTAATTAAAAAGGTGTTATTGATTTATTTGGTTCTGGAGACATATCTATACTGGACATTGTTTCTGTTAAATCAGTTATTCCTATTTTAGATTGAGAGTTGAGTATTTTTCTTGCTCTCCACAAAACCTGTTTAACTATTTCATTGTGCTCTTTAGGGTACCTAACCTACATTAGGTCATACATTATAATTTCAGCATCTTGTAATCATCCACGTCTGTGAAGTTTACTCTTTAAAACACCTTGGAAACTCTAAAAGTAATGCTAATCAGCATTTGCTTAAATTTATAACAGCCAAATGGTGTATTAAGTCATTAGCATAGAGTCTGGCAGGCAAAGTTAGATGAATCAAGATGCACATTCTGCATCTAATGCTGAGAATATTTTTTCCTCTGAGACCTTAACTGTCATTTTAAATAGAATACATACTTATGGATTTATTTATTTCATATGGATCTATACATATGATTTTTAATTGACTTTTCAATTGCAAATATTAACAGAGGCTGTAGGGTATTCAATATTTTCAGTAACACCCAGCTTTTGCGTAGTATCAAATTCTCCTTTTGCTTTATTTGTTAGAGGAAATAAATCTTTCTATATGGATAATTCATTGGTGTTATTGACCTCTCTATTATAATGTGTTACAATACTTAAGGTAATTCTATATTAGACCTCATAAAAGATAAAGATGAATTGATAACTGAACTAAAAATTGTTGGTTACCGTGGCACTCTGTACTCATAAGCAGCATCCTGGAACCCCCATATTCACCAATGTCATATGATTGCGATATGTTTCATACAAAGCATGCCATGTAAGATATTATATGAAAAGTCATGATCTGCTGAAACCCCTGGTTCTGGCCAAATGTGTATATCGCTAGTGTGT